AAATAAAGAAATAAATAAAATAATTATTAAAAAATATAAAGAGAGAGAGGTGGGAGAGTGGGGGCCCCAGGGAGTCCTAGGTAGATCCTTGAAGAGGGAGACAGAGTGAATTTCTCAGACAGGCTGTAACAGACTTAATTTATTCATGGAGAGGCGTTCGGGTTGGGGAGCCCTGGTTTAGCCTGTGGAGGAAGCTGACCGCATTCACTGCTCTCACGGTGCTGGTTAGCACCAGTTTCTTGCCAGGGAGACAGTAAATGAGTTATATATTATAGACTTGAGATTTTTGGCAGAAGCAAGGACGAAATAGAGTGCTTTATTTTTGTTTGTTTTGCCCTTAATTAATGTTTTTATTCAGAAATTTTCAAATGTAAGATCAGGCAGATCTTACTATGGGCATAAACTCTTCCAAATATTTATTGATGTTACAAATACATAGGTTTTTTTTTTTTTGGATTACCAAAGGATGTGTACGCTGGCCAGAGAAGGAGGAAGAAAGCACCCCCCAGTGAGGTATGCAGTCCCTTCTCCATTTCTCCATACTGTCAGGATTTGGGGCATGCACACTTGCATATGTGCCTGTTGTTTTTTGTTTCTTTTTTTAAGAATTTTGCCATAGGGCGTGTGTGGTTGTTGAAGAACGAGACTGTTGGAGAGCGAGACAGGGAGAGATGGTGAGAGGGCAAGTGAAAAATCACCCTCCCCACCCCCACCCCCAGGGGTGCTGGCCATGCCACAATCCCTTCTCCATTTTCCTGGGATTTGGGGCACACATGCACATGTGCTGGGTGTGAATTTTTTTTTTTTTCTAGGTGTGATTTTCAAGGTGCTGAGACTTGAACTGCAGTTGGTCATGGGAGTCCAGTGCCTTAACTACTATGCCATCTACTGGCTAGCACCTGGGGTGTTTTTCAAGCAGTTTGGGCTGAGAATCAAACCATAGTTAGCCATGTGGGATCTGGCTACCTCCTCAACCACTAGGCTACAGAACCTGCCTGCTGTACTGAATATTTTGTATTCAAGTAAAGATTATTAAGCTATGACCTCTACTTTCAAAAAAATTGTAGTCCATATCCTTTTTTTTTTTTTTTTATCAGAGAGAGACAGAGAGAGAGAGAAAGGGAAAGGGAAAAAGCAAGCTGCCGGGTCCAGGACTTGAACCATAGTCAGCCATGTGGGAATCCAGTGTCTTTAACCACCATGCCATATTCTTAAAAGTTGACTACATGAGACATTGTGGGAAATGCAGAGACCCTTTCCAAATCAGCTCCTTTGAGTAGGAGATAAATGAATTAATCCACCATGAATATGTTAATTTATCCAACCAAAACTTCAGTGCTTGCTATCTGCTAGGCCCTATTTCAGTAGCCAAAAAGTAGAGAATATGATGGTGAACAATATAGACAAGGTCTCTCCTCTTAAATATATTACTAGAAGAGGGGATCAGCAGGTGGCATGGTGAAGATGCTGGACACACCTATATGGCCGACCACAGTTCGAGTCCTAGACATGATGGCTTGCTTTTTCACTTTCTCTCTCTCTCTCTCTGTCTTTCTCTGGTCAAATTAAAATAAATGAATGGATAAATAAAATAAAATAAGTAATTTTAAAAAGAAGATATTACTAGAGGAACAGATAGAAGATGAACATGTAGATAGGGTGTTAGACAGATTGGTCATGCGTATGACATTGGAGCTGAGACCTAAATGATGAGAAACAGCTGGTTCTGTGAAGACTTGGGAGACTTTTTTTTTGTTATTGTTTTTAAAGAATTATTTATTTAATTTTATTCATTATTTTTTAATTTGACCAGAGAGAGACAGAGAAGGAAAAGAGAGAGACAGAAGAGAGAAAGGGAAAGTGAGAAACGCAACCGCCAGGTCCAGGATGCAAACTGCGGGTGGCCATGTGGGAGTGCAGCACCTTAATCACTACACCTGACAGCCCCAGGGAGAAGACTGTTTTACAGGCAGGAACACTAGCAAGTGTAAAGGCACACAGTCTGGAATAAGCATATTCAAGGAGCAGAAAAGCAGCCCTTGGCCGAAGGGGAGTAGGTGAAGAGAACAGTTGTATATGAGATGAACTCATAAAGGCAGGCAGGGTCCAGATTGTGTAGGACCTCAGAGATCACGGAAAGGCCTTCAGATTCATTCATGCTGGCTTCCTTCCTTTCCTCTTTCTTACTTAACAGAGTGCACACAGAGAGAGGTATTTCTGACTGTCTCACCATGTCACGATTATCCTGCCTCAGCCTCCCTGTTAGCAAGGATTACAAGTGTGTGCCATGACACCCAGTCTGTTTAGGGTGGGCCAGGACACAGCCCCAGCCTGTGCCACTGTAGCTGCCTTTCTTCAGGTGCCATGGGAAGCCATTGGAGGGGCTTGTAGCAAGACAGTGGTGTCTGTGCTAAAAGATCCCTTTGGTGGGACCAGCAGATGGCATAATGGTTACGCTGTTGGACTCCCACGTAGTTGGCCATAGTTAGAGTCCTGGACCTGGTGGCTTAAAACTCACACCGAAGGGCTGGCCAGGTGGCCATGGTGGTTAAGGGCGCTAGACTCCATTCCTGACTGTGGTTCAAGTCCTGGACCTGATGGCTTGCTTTCTTGCTTTCTCTCTCTCTCTCTCCCTCTCTGGTCAAATTAAAACAAACCAGTTAAACAAAACTCACAATTAGGAGTGTGTGTCCAAAATCCTGGGAGGGGGACCAGCAGATGGCATAATGTCTACATTGCTGGACGCCTATGTAGTTGACTGCAGTTCAAGTCCCAGACCTGGTGACTTAAACTCATGCTGGGCATGTGTGTGTGTGCATCCAAGATCCCAAGAGGAGAATGGAGGAGAAGGGATTGTGGTGTGGCCATCTCCCTTTGGGGTAATTACTCGCTTTCTGTCTGTCTCTCTCTCTCTAGTGAGCACACATTCCCTATAGCAAACATCTCTCTAAAATAAAATTAAATTGAAAAAAAGATCCCTTCGGCTCTCATTTGGGGAAGAGATTGTAGGGCTAGAGGTGGAAACCAGCTGTATCTCAGAGGTCTGTGATGGCCGCACCAGACCAGCAGCAGGGAGATGGGGCGGAGGGGACACAGGCCAGCCGATGGATTGAGGGCAAGAAGAAGGAACCCTGGGTTGGGTTGAGGTAGCCGAGTGTCCAATGAGTGCCTCCCACGTGCCCCAACTGCCCCAGGCTGTGCCCTGAGCTGGGCGCTTTACTCAGGAAGAGCTCCACTCACAGCAGGCACAGCCCCTTCCGCCACTCACCTCTTTCTTGGCCGGGTTCACATCCTCAGGCAGCTCCTGATCCTGATTTTTCAGTAGAACTTCTATAGGGTAATATTTTGGCTCACTGTCATCAGAATTCAGGGAGAGGCTCGCGTTCTTCATGTCCTAGGTTAAGATAGGCAGGTAGACACAGGACGGTCTCAGTTTTGCGTGTACAGACAGTTCACATTCTGACATATCGTTTTACCCTTTGTAATCATCTTTAGAACAATGGTTCCCGAACCTGCTGCAGGTCAGAATCACCTGGGCATCAAACATATTCAAATTTGGGGGTCTTTCTTGGGAAGGCTGATTGAGTAAGTCAGCGGTGAGTCCTGCAGAGCCAGTTTGGTGTGCACGCTGTGTGCTTTCATCTCATCTAAATGCTATCATGAACCTTCTCTTGGCGCTTTCACTCGGGCCCTACATTTCCAGCCTTTAAGTGACTTCAAATGGAAGTCATACTTTTCTTACATCCAGTGTGGATACTGTATCACCATTAGCTTTGGCGTCTGAGCTTGTGGAGCACAAAGGACAACACTGCCAGATGTTTGAACACCTGGTGCCGTGTGCTCATCCTGATGTGAACGAGCTGTCGGAGTCCTGGCCAGAGGCCCCGCTTCTAGCAGTAAATAAAATAGAGGTAAGCATCCTGCGTTTCTGCAGGCTTCAGTGTCAGAAACATAAATACCATCTGCGTTAGAAGCTTTTATTTCTGAAAAGTGCGACCAATAACTGGAATCGGCTCCTGAACGGCAGAGACAGCAGAATAATAACATTACGTTTTGTTTTTGTTTTAAAATAGCAAGTTGGTTTTAAATGCTAGAAGAAAGTAAAATAAGGAACTTGGCTCTAACGCCTGATTTTCGATCATCTGCATCAGTGTAGACCACTGTAGCAGCACTACGAAGCACATGCCAGGGCTTGGCCTGCGTGGCTCTGTAGCCCTGGCCCTTCCTCTTCAGCTCCGGCCGCCTCGTGACTTGCCTCTCCCAGAGCAAACCCAACTTACAGCAGTGATTCTCATGATAGCAGCAGCGTCTCCCAGCTCTTCTTTTAACTGCTCATAGGATTTTCCTGCCTGAGAAGAAGAGATGGAAAGATGCAAGATGAGGTATTACTTAGAGGAGAGGGACATCTCAGGTCTGGTCTGAATCTGCAGGAAAAGCAAGAGGCAGGAAGTACTATGACGTTTCAAGGATAAGTGAATTTCCCCTGCTGTGTCCATGCAGGGATGAAGGGTGGCGCTTAAACATAGGATCCGTGTCCTTCGATGGTGCCCCTCAACCCTCCCTAAAAGATTTAACGAAGAATAGGTGACCAGGAGTCAGAAAACCTGACTTCTTCCTATTAGTTAACGGTGACTGTAGATTAGTAACATCCTCTTAGCTTCCTCATCTATAAAATGAGAAGCATAATCTTGCTCTGGCTATTGGGTGGATTGTAAAGATCAAAAAGTAGGGCTGGGAACCAGCAGTTAGCGTAATGGCTATGTTGCTGGACTCCCACGCAGTCGACTGCGGTTCGCATCCCGGACCTGGTAGCTTAAAACTCATGCTGGGCGCGTGTGCATGCGTGCCCAAGATCCCGAGAAGAGAATGGAGGAGAAGGGATTGCGGCGTGACCATCCCCCCTGGGGGGTGATTTCTCGCTTTCTGTCTCTATGTCTCT